CGCCACTTCTGGCTTTTTTCTTTTTGCTTATGTGGCGCTGAGGAATCGAACCCAGGGCCTCATGCATGCAAGGCAAGCGCTCTACCACTGAACCACCTTCCCAGCCCCTTAATATATTTTAGTTCTAATATAACACCGAATAATTAAGACTCTTCTATTTGTAACAAAAACATACAGCTAAACATTGCTTAGGGATTTGGTTCCAGACCCAAACCAGGGAATGTGCAAGTTCCATATATGAAATGGTGTACAGATAACTTACGTACATCCTTTCATGCACTTTAAGTAAGTCATCTCTAGATTTCAGCACATAATGCAAGTAATGTGTAAATTGGTATACTGCATTGTTTGAGGAGTAATGACAAAAAAAGACTTGCCTATTCAGTCTCAATGTGCAGATTTTCCTTTTGTCTTACTCTGCTCTGGAGCTCATGACTTAGCTGCAGTACATACTGGCCAATTGATGATTCTAAGCAGTAAGCATGCATTTTCTTTTGGTGTAATGATTTTGAAAACCAATGTAGCTGTTTACCTACTCATTTATGTCCCTCTGTACCACATGTGTAGATAGACAGAATTGTTTGAATTGTTTGGTTGTTATAAACCAAACTAAAAAGCACTTCAGATTTTCGGTTTTTTGCTTTATCTCATCACCACTTTTTACTAACATGGTTGATTGGCTGCGTATTTATGACTGATAGTGAAACTGAGTAGACCTTCAGTGACATTTAAATGGAAAAAATTTTAATTTTTAATTTGCTTGATCTGTTTTATAGACCATGATTTCATTGCCCAGGTATCCTGCTTAAAAATAATCACCAGCAGATGTCACTGTTCTCTTACACAGTGATTTGAGTTCCAGTTTCTTCAAGAAGATTTAGGTTATGAAGTTAGGAACAAATGTTAAGTTATTACATAATCATTTTGTTTTTAATTTTTTTTAAAGTTATGCTGGAGTTTTAGAGTTATGCAGGAAAAGCCTTTTCTTTGCTTACCTTTAGCTAACTCCCTTCAGAATAGCATTTTCAGAGTACTATCTAAGGGTTTTAGTAAAAAAAAAATGTATGCTCTATAGTATTTATTGTAAAGATTTCCACCAAAATGAATGTATAAAATATCTAAAATATCATTGTCTTAAAATTTCAAAGCAAATATTTTTCCATGAGCTTTTTTTTTTTGCCAGTCCTGGGGCCTGGACAGTCCCTGAGCTTCTTTTGTTCAAGGGTGGTACTCTACCACGTGAGCCCCAGCTCCACTTGTGGCTTTTTCTGTTTATGTGGCACTAATTGAACCCAGGGCTTCATGCATGCTAGTCAAGCACTCTACCACTACGCCACATTCCCAGCATCCCCTCCCCCCATAAGCTTGTTCACAAGGTCATGTGTGGACTCCTTTCCTAGTAGAAATAAATTCTTTGGGTGGGATGTGTTAGATGTGCTGCCTGGCTTCTTGACAGAACCATACATTGAAGCAGCTTATTTTTTCAAACATCATTGGAAGGTCTGTTGAGTTTTAGTATCTGTCAAGCATCCAAACTTGTGTCCAGTTCTCTTAAAAGAAGTTGTTGCTGGGGAAATCATAAGGTTTTCAGTAAAGACAGGACATGGCTCAGCTCTTCTAGCAAAGTCTGAACAATTAAACAACCAACTGAAGCCCAGCCTTTAGCTCCAGTTTACCCCTAGTTTCTATGCTTCTCTTGAATGTAGCCAAAGTTACTTAATATTTTAAAAATTTGTAGTCGCATTAGATGATAGTATTAAATGAAATGGAGAAAAGTTCTGAAAATAATATTTACACTTTGACTTCTTTACAGATAACATTATATTTCTGAGTGACCAGACAAGAGAAAAGTCATAGAATGTATGATTCTTCGTTGGCCGATGTTTGGTACTGTCTCATTTCCAAATCATGTGTAGTCTTTATAGTTTCTAAGAACAATGATTAAAAATGCTCTTTCAGATAAAGTGAGTGATATTTTTCCTGATACTTCCTCTCTTGGTATTATGGTATAAACCTTGGTAGAGTCTATTTCCAGGTTCATCTATCTGTATTTTTTTGTGTGTTTTTGTGCCTGTACTGGCCTTGAACTTAGGACCTTGTGATCTTTCTGGGCTTTTTTGCTCAGGTCTGGCATTATATATTTGAACTCAGGACCTTGTGATCTTGCTGGGCTTTTTTGCTTATGGCTGTCACTGATACTACGCACTTGAGCTATGCCTCACTTCTGGCATTTTATTGGTTAATTGGAAATAACAGTCCCTCAGATTTGTCTACGTAGGCTGACTTGGAACCCCAGTTGTCAGATCACAGTCTCCTATGTAGCTAGCAGTATAAGCATGAGCCATCAGCATCCAGAAAGCCCTTTAAAAATTACATAGATAGACTTCTGTCACGATATTGATTTAGTTGTTCAGTATTTATTGAGCATTAGTGTACGTTAGACATTTACCCCACAGTTGCAAATACTGATTTTTTTTTTAACCTTTTGTTCTATAGAACTGAAGGCAAGCACTAACTCTGTATCAGCACCTTCACTAGTGCTTGGCACAAAGGAGTCACTCAGTATACACTGACAAGTGAATGATCCCATTGGATTATTGAGCTTTAGTATGGTGGTTAGTACCCAACCTCAACTGCTTCAAGACTTACCTACTTCGTTAATATTTTTTGGTTTTGAATTGTTTTTTCCTAGTATTTGTGAGACGTGGTTTATCAGTAGGAAAGACTTGTCATATAGCTAGAGATGAAATAGCTCATCTTCAGATGCTCTACTTCTGTTATCTTTATCTTTCTACAAAGTTCCTTTTGGAACTCCCTGGCAGAGATTGTTTGGGTGTGTGTGGATGCAGGTGAGTATTAAACCCACAGCCTTGAAGATCTCATCTCAGCAACATCATACATAGTTTTCCATTGAGTTATAAGCCCAGCTGAAAGATCCTCCTAAATGCCTTTCACATTGCCTCTCCAAAGAGCCTCTGAATTTCTTTTCTTCCATGTCGTTTCTGGTTGTACACATCCACATACATATACACACAATTACATATATACATTCAATTTCATTGTAAGACTCAGGAACTTATAGAATGCTAATAATTTACCAATAAAGATGGTATAAACTTGGCTTTTCAGTGTGTCTTTGTTTTTAAAGTCTATAAATCCTCTCTAGGTTTGCCTGAATCTTCCAGAAGGTGGCTGCTTCTAAGTAGGTGGTATTGTTCACATGCTACAAATCCCGCTTTCTGTCTATGCTCTTCTGTCCCTGGCTTCATCTCCAGACCAGCTTGTGAGTTTGTTCCCTTTTGCCTGCTGTATGGTGCTAACTGTACCTTAGGTCACGATAATCTCTGAACAGGTTCAAAATACACATGCTGTCCTCTGGGCCCTTGACCTTTGTAAGTATTTTCTGCACACGTGAACAGCTCTTTTGTACTTACAACGTAGTTCATTTGAGTAAAGATAGAAGTGTTTTTTAATGCTTGGTCCAAGTGCTTGAACTTTGGGTCTTCACACTTTTCTTGGCTTTTCTTGCTTATGGTTGGCACTCTACCACTGAAGATCCACATCTTTAGCCCGAGATGGAGTTTTTAAAATTTTTATCTAGTCTTTATCCAGGAATAGTATAAATTAGTTTCTTTTATCAGCCATTTTTTTTCCTGCAGCTTAGGCTAATAATCAGCATCTTAATATCTATTATAGGTATTACGTCTTTCCTCAGCAATACACCTTTTATACTGCTTAACATACGAGATGTTATGCAGACTAGTATTCTTTCTTAAACAAAGTGATAAATGTGTTGTCCAGAACAACCACCTGGCATAGGAAGATCTCAGTTAAATAATTCTCATGACTAATTTCTGAGTCCAAAATGCAGAGGCAGATTAGCAAGTGCATCCTGCATGTGCAGGAATGTAGTCTTGAGGGTGCTGTGGGACATGGGGCCCTTGTCCCAGCCTCCATCCTACATGTGCAGGAATGTTGCAATAAGACAGGCAGTAACGTTTTCAATCAGGCTGTCTTCTGTTTATCTATTGATTCTGCTGGCCCAGTGGCCCCAAACCAGTCACGCTTACTAGTAAACTGCCTTCCTCACCCAGGTTCCTATCAGTTAAGAACCTTTCTGCTATTCCCAGGCTAGTTCCAGTTTGAAGCACTCTTGTGGAATCTAAGAGTCTTTAGATGAATGCTAATACAAATTTTGGAGATATTTTCCTTTTAGATGATATCAAGGCATAAACTTGTAGAAAATTGCTCCACAGCTTTAAGTTTTGGGGCTTGTCGAAAAAGTATGACCTACAAAAGTGAGGAGAAAAGTGTCAAACAGCATTTGTGATGCTACCTTGTTTTTGAAAAAGTGGTTAAAATTGAGGGGGAAACATCAAATATGATTATTTTTGGATAGTGTATTACATGTAGATTTCCTTATTTATGCCAGCATGTAATAGCACGAATATGTATGCTGTCCTGAGTACAACATTTTGTAGAAAATCTTTTTTTTTTCCCAGTCATTTGGTTTATAGCATCTTATACTTGTATATGTCATTCACCACTTGTGCATCACAAGAGTAACCATCCTGTATGAGATCCACTGTTTGCTGCCAGTACAGTTCTCGAAGTCATCTATTTCTTACAAGTCATTGGATGATTAGTTCAAAGGCATCCCAAAACACCCAACACATTTTTCTGTAGCCATTTGGGAAATAAAGTATTTGTTTTGTGAAGATTACTTTTTATTGCCAACTGGGTTTCAGTCTAACCTTTATAACTCAGGAAAAATTAATGCAGCCTTCCCTTTGTTTCCCAAAGATCATGTAATTCTTAGAGGCAAGATTGTCTTCTACTCAAATTATCCATTTGGCTCCATGTAGCTCAGCCTAGCTCAGCAACAGTGTAGTATTTTACAAATGTTTGTTCAGCTAGCTTAACATGAAAATGAGGGCAGGATCATTTTGCTTATTTTCTTTCAGCATTTGTATTCCATACTGTGAAGACTGATGAGACGAAGCACAAGAAAATCACTAGGAATTTAGCCATAATCCCCAGAGTCAATGAGTCAGAGAGAAAATCTCTAAAGAGGTAACAATCATAGTGAGGATGGTATTTCTAAAAGCTTATGATGTGTCAGGCATATGGCTGAGACATTATATTTGGTTAAGAGCCATTTATATTTAGCTGAAAGACTACATATGCTCTAAGACATTATGTTTAGCTATTGTCTTAAGGAGAAAGCACTGTATCATTTCACAGGTAAAGTCCAGAAATAGGTTAAATGACTTGTCAGAGTCACAAGTTCAGGCATGTGGTGTTTGCATTTAGCTTCTTCTGCTCCCTGCTTGTTTCTGTTGCACACATTGTAGTGGCTTTGGACGGCCCATCCTCCCACTGCTAAGCTGGAGAGTGTCCTATGACAGGTGTTTGGAACAATCTAGATGGTGAGTAAATAATAGGACTTTTTGAGAAAAGTGTTGGGAGTGGAAAAGTGTCTCTGACTGTATCTGGTTCTCAGCCTGATCATCCATAGGAAAATAAGTCATTTCCTTTACCAGAGTATTTTAATATGCACTTTATTTTTTCTAGTTAGTAACGTGAGAGTGTTCATTTTATTGTTTACTTATTATGAGCTGAAATTGTCAATGTTTTGGGAATTTTTGAGGTTTAAAAGAAGGAGAATTTTGTCAGGCATCAAGGGACATTTGTCTTTATGCAGCCCACAGTTCTACCCATTAGCACAGGGGGGAATTTTAGGCTGTCAGTGTCATACATCTGCACTGTTGAAGCATCGCATTTTGGTTCTTCATGAATATTATCAGACTATTGAAATACACTAAAAGGAGATGAGCCATATTGATGTTATTTTTTGTTCATTAGAAGCAAATTATAAAGGCTGTCAATTTCCCCAAACTGATGTTACAAGTCAAAAGAATTTCAAGTCAATTTGCAGAAGTCCTTCAGGAGAACTCAAGCTGATTCTAAAGATACACTGATAAAGCAAAGGTCTCAGAACAGTGGACAAGGCTTTTATTTTCTTGATAAAGCTATTTTGGTAAAATATACTACTAATGCAGGAAAAACAAATACAGGCATTTAAACTAACCATGGCATGTGAAGCAATATATGTTGAAAGTGGCACCATAGATTATTAGGTAAAGGATAGATTATTCAACAAATGATGTCAGGAAAATTTGTCATCTACATGGAACAAAACTGAAATTGAATCTTACACCTTATGCAAAAATAAATTCTTACTGACTTAAAAGATTTATTTGCCAAGAGCAAACTAAACAGAAGAATGTAGTGGGTTAATTGTTTTGTAATTTGAGGGTAGGAAATTGAAAACTTCCATTCTAATACAGGACCAGTAGTACCAAGCTTTAATTTATGTACCTAAACCCAGAGTGATGCATAGTGCCTCATTGAGGAGTTCTGACATTGCTTTATTTCTGTGTATGTCTCTACGTCCTCCTCCAAGAGGGATAAGATTTTTCATCCTTTTTAGTGTTTTTTGTACCACTCACCTTTCTGTTCTGGATGACTCCCACCTCTTCTCCCCTCCTCTCCATGCCCCTCCCTTCCTCTTCTCACCTTTCTTTTCCTCTGCTCACCTGTCCTTTCCTTCCTCCTTCCCTCCTTTCTCCCTCCCTCCCTCCCTTCTCCCGCTGTTTCTCTCCCCTCTTTCAGATAGGTCTTACCATGTAGTCCATGCTGGCTGTGAACTCACTTATGTTTACTACAGCCTCCCTAGTGCTTACACAGAGGAGCTGCCATGCCCAGCTGCAACCCTATTCCCTTTGAAATTGAGTCCAAGTCATCCATAGTTTTTGTGACCCAGCTGTTTTCCTTCTCTCTATGACACTTTGCATTTTTGCAAAGAGCTGCCGAGCTGAAGATGATAGGTGGAAATGACAATCTGTCATCTTTGAGTATAGACTAGCCTGAACGAGTCAGAGAAGATTCACTAAGCTATGCTGTCTAGTAAGCTAAATTAACCAGAAATAAGAGACCGGTAGAGTGAAGCAATGAGGTAGAGAGGGCAGTTGTCAGGAAAATTTAAAATGAGCAGAGATTCCATATATTAAGAAAAATAATAAAGGTTAGTACTGCTTGACTGCTGACATGTTGGAATTTTCTGAGGGGATGTTCCTAGTTCTGCTTGTCATTCTGTTCATCCTTGGAAATCTAGGGAACGGGTTTCTCGGATTGGTCATTGGTAGCAGCTGGTTCAAGAGCAAGAAAATCTCCTTGTATGACTTCATCATCACCAACCTGGCCATCTCCAGGATCGTTCTGTTGTGGATTATCTTTGTTGATGGTTTTTTAATGTTATTCTCTTATGAAACTCGACATTCAAGGACAGTAACGATAATTATTGATATTACTTGGACATTCACAAGCCAACTGTCTGTTTGGCTTGCTACCTGTCTTGGTGTTCTCTACTGCCTGAAAATTGTCAACTTCTCTCACCCCACATTCCTCTGGCTTAAGTGGAGAGTTTCCAGAGTGGTTGTATGGATTTTATTGGGTGCACTGCTCTTATCCTGTGCAAGTACTATCTCTCTCATCAATGAATTTAAGATCTATAATGTCCTCAGTGGAATTGGTACCACAGGGAATGAAACTGAACACTTCAAAGAGAAACAAAGTGAATATGATCTACTTCATGTCCTTGGGAATCTGTGGCACCTCCCTCCCTTCGTTGTCTCTCTGGTCTCTTTATTTCTGCTCCTTCTTTCTCTGGGGAGGCACAGGTGGAAGATGCAGCAAAATGGTATCAGCTCCAGAGACCAAAGCACAAAGGCCCACAAGAGAGCTATCATCATCCTCATCTCCTTCCTCTTAGTCCTCATGCTTTTCTTAGTTTCCTTTATAATTTTTTCGTTGAGTCGTTTCCTACCAGATGCTAAGTTGGCTGTCATGGTTGGTGAAGTCATTACAATGTTGTACCCTACTCTCCATTCATTTATTCTCATTCTGGGGAACCACAAGCTGAAGCAGACTCTTGTGGCAATGCTCCCATGTGAGTTTGGTTGTCTAAAGCCAGGATCTAAAGAACATGTTTCCCCATAGAGGAAGTGGGATGGAGCCTGGGAGTCCTTCAGCTTGCTCAAGACTTCTGGGCTCTTCCTGGCCTTTGTTTCAAAGGATGTCTATATGTACTTCTTGTTTATTTTGATTTGCATTTTTGAATATAAAATTTCCACCCTGATTGGGTTGGATGTATTTGTACACTTCCAGGATTGCTCTTGTTATCACTCACCTGCTAGAGTAGATAAGAGATGTCATACTCTAGCACTCAGTGCTTTCAATGTTTTTTTGTTTGGTAGTTGGTTGGTTGTGGGATTTGAACTCAGGGCCCGGGCACTGTCTCTGACCTTTTGTGCTAAAGGCTAGCACTCTACCACTTTGAGCCACAGCTCTACTTCTGGTTTTCTGGTGATTAATTGGAGATAAGAGTCTCAAGGACTTTCCTGCCCAGGCTGGCTTCGAACTTCAATCCTCAGATCTCAGCCTTCTGAATAGACAGGAAAACAGGTGTGAGCCACCAGCATGTGGCTCAGTTGTTTTCTATAATATCATCTACTAAGAAGATTGTTCCCTTTCTGACAAAGAAATTAGGCAATGACTTAGTAGCTGTTTGACCCACAAACATAACTGGAGCATTATTGTGCATTTTGTACCAGAATATTCTTATTGACAGTTAAATGCTTAAGAGGCACTAAGCCACATGAGATCTAACCATAGATTGAGATTTCTAAAAAAGAGTCATGAAAAGGCTGACTTTAAAATTCTAGTTAAAAACAAAACAAAAACAAACAAGAACATAAGGTAGTGATTTATGTATGTGGCTAAGGCAAGAATGCAAAGCAATTATGAAATGATGAGATTATGAAAGGCAGGGGTCAGGTCCAGGGACTTGATGATTAGACAACAGTAAATCATGTAAGTAATGAGTCATAAACTGAAGGGATGACCTTGTCACTGGAGAAAATGGCCTCAGCATCAGCAGATTATAGGCGAGAAGGCAGTTGAGGTTTTAGGTATTCCATGTATTTATAAATGGAAGGTAGGTGGTAGGAGTGAGACTTGAGGATTCCCACCACATTCTGTGGTTTCTATGAAAAACAAAAACCAACTCTCTGAAACAGTGGCAGGAATAATGATGGACTAGAGCTCTGATTCAATCTAAAGTTATTAGGACCAGCCATGACTCTAGCTCTACTGCTTTTGGAAGGGCGGACTCACAGGTGCATGTATGTATGTTTTAGTTAATTAAGCATTCCTAAGGAAAGACTAGAAATGAAGACATAGTAATTCAATCCTTGGAAGATTTGCATCTCAGTAAAAGCAGCTGGCTCTTACTCCAAAGGTGAACGGTTCATTTCCCATGCTGGCAAATAAAGAGGACATAATCTGGGTTGGGTTCTGGTGCATACTAGTATATATTAGTATTTCTTCTGTCCCCATCATCAACCCCACCATAACTGCCAAATCCTCAGTGGAAAAAGATGTGGACAGCATGGCATATATCTTTTTTTGGTGCCTCATTGCTTAGTTTTGTAGGACTCCTTTTGAATCTTTTCATGACAGTTGTCATTTACAAGACTTGGGTCAAAACCCATAGACTCTCCTCTTCTGATAAGATCCTCTTCACCCTGGGCATCACCAGATGTCTCATGCTGGCATTATTTATGCTGAACATTTTGTTCATCTTTTTAAATGCTGAAAGGTTAGTCTCCTTTTCTAGAGTTTTATCATTGTGTTGGAAGTTTTTGGATGGTTGCAGTCTCTGGTTGGTGACCTTGCTCAACGGCTTGTACTGTGTGAAGATTACTAACTTCCGATGCTCAGTGTTCCTTCTGCTGAAACGGAGTATCTCCACAAAGATCACCAGACTGCTACTCGGCTGTCTGCTGATATCTACTTTCACTACCCTCCTGTGCCTTGTGGTCAGACTGATACCATATTTTCCTGAATCTGTGACTAGGAGAAATGACACGTTCTTTGACATCAAGGAGGGCATCTTGACTTTTGCAGCCTCTTTTGCCTTGAGCTCATTATTCCAGTTTATCCTTAATGTGACTTTTGCTTCCTTGCTAATACATTCCTTGAGACGACATCTACAGAGGATGCAGAGAAACTCCACTAGCTTCTGGAATCCCCAAACTGATGCTCATGTAGGTGCCATGAAGCTGATGATCTATTTCCTCATCCTGTACATTCCATATTCAATTGCTACCATGCTCCACCTCCCTTCTTACATAATGATGGATTTCAGTGTCAGAGCCATTTGTTCAATAATTTCTACTGTTTACCTTCCAGGACATTCTATTCTAATCATTCTCACACATCTCAAACTGAAAACAAAAGCAAAGAAGATTCTTTGTTTCAAGAAATAGTGGAATTTCAATAGTAAATGGCTAGGTCATCTCATAGTTTTGGAGCTAGATTTTCTCTGTTAGCAGTTTTCCTAATAAACTGAGAAGTTCATTTTGTGATTTCTTATCTGACATTCTGGGTCTTTAAATGCTGTATTTGAGTTAATTTTGTATTTGGGGGCTAATTTAAAATAAGCCACATTCTCTAAGGCATTTGGTTGACATGTTACTGGTGTATTTTACATGATATTGTGTTTCTGGATTATAGAAAGCACCACAATGCTCCATTAACTACTGAAGTAGAATGAGATATTTTCCCCATATCAAGGTACATATTGTACATATGACTAGCTACACGTTTTAGTTCAGGAACCCTGAGTAAGGGGTCAGCGATAGGCAAGTGGTCATTGAGAAAGCACAACCAAGCAGCACAAAAAGGCAAGGAAAAAGAGAAAAGTTTCAAGAGAAAGAAAGGTAAGAAACAAGGATTGAAATAGGTGTACATTGTAAGATAAGACAAACAGAAGTTACCAGTCTTTGCTGAGTGACAGCAACTGAGCTAGAAACACTGGCATTGAATTTCTAGGCTGGATTTGGAAAGAACAAAAGGTCAGAATTGATAAGTGGTGAGAAGTGTTTAGTGTTGAAAAATAAATCCAGCAAGCTAGCCTAAGGACAAAAATAAGTTCTAAATGGTGAAATTAATCTCATCTGAGTGCAAATTTACCAAACACTAGGCATTACTGTAAGATGCAGAATGCAGAGCAAAGTCAAGAGGAGCTATTGGACTAGTAATGGGAGTGTTTGACTTCTCTGTCTTCATTTGAGCACAGCAGAGTTCTTGAACAGATGTTATTTTGTGAGGCTGGAATAACAGGATGATGGCTTCAGAAAAACTTGTGTCTGAAGATGGAATGATTTTGAAGATGGACAAGTTTTGAAATGGTAATTAAGGATTAATTATGGATATAGCTAAAATAAGCTACATAAGCAATATTTACAGAAGGCTTATGTAATATTTATACATATCTGAATAAATAATTTTAAAACAAATTATCTAACTTTCCTGTTCTGGCCACCAGAGTTTTGACTGCAATATTTAATAAATGTTAGCCAAACCAATATTTTATAGAGAACAGGGTGACTTAGATCTAGTCTTTCCCTTACTTCAGTGTAAACACTGCTGTCTGTTCACATGTTCAACTTGTAAACATGTTAAAATCATTACTGTCCCACCAGAATGTAAGATCCTTGGGAGCAGCAACTATTCCCTTCATACTGTATCCTGGAAAAAGGGTCTGATACATGCTAGTTACTTAGTAGATATTGTCCAGTAATTAATTGGACTTTCCCCCTTGTAACATGAGGTTCCTTGCAGTTGTCTCTGCTTCCGTGCGTGTTGGGTTTTATGGAATTAAGATAGGGTGGAAGTAGGGTTTCAGGAGCACCGCTGTAGGCTCTCTAGACAGGTACATAAAGTTTACATGTCAGCGATGGCACACAGCTTATTCAGTGTGTTGGCCTCTACCAGTCTCTGGGAACCACAGGTGGTTAGGGTCCTTCTAGTGTGCCTGCTGGGTGAAGTGACAGTCTGGTGGCAGCAGGGGCAGGGCATCTCTAGTGCAGAATGCACCTGTCAGTCTCTGCCGGCTGTGGAAGTGGAGCCAGTTCAGTGCCCTGGCTGCATTGTGGTTGGATTTGATTTCAAAATGACACCATGTAGGAACAACCGGGGTGAGTTCTACCTCTGAAACCCTGAAACTATGTGCAGTCCTGAACAACTCCTCAACTGGGTTTGGGGCCTAGGAGTGCTTCGGGAGACAATGGTTATCTGTGGTACCAGCAGGGGCTGATGAGGCCTCCTGTTAATCTTTTCTCTATCCTGAAGGGACTTTCTCGTGTGCATACTGACCCAGACTGGAACAATGGGGCAGTTAATGATGACATTTCGCTTCTTTCTTTACAAGCTCATCAAGAGTCCCTGTGTCCCACAATTCCTCCGTTCCATCTGCACTGTATTCCAGGGTTCTCCCAAAATGTTCTAGCACAAGAGTTATTTTTGATCTCTCTTTGTTGTGGTTGTGTCTAATCAACTATCTTGCTAGAATTTTCCTCCTGGTTATCTTTTTGTACAGATATCATAGGAGGAGGAAGAAGCACAAAGCTTTGTCCCACCACGATGGATTCACAAGTTCCTCCTTGACATGGATCGAGTTGGCTAGCTCCTTTCCCATCACTTCCCTAGGTCCTCTCTTGGAGAGTAGCACTGCCTCCCACTCTGTAATGCAGCAAGCTACCTACACTTCCCTCCCTCCCTCCCCAGCTATCACCACGAAGCAGAGTTGTCAGAGAATTCTGTGGCAGGTGGTGGGTGCCCAGAGATAGACAACAGTAAAATGGCCTGACATTTTCAGTAAAATTTAATTTTGTCTTCTCTCTCATTTCTTCTTTGATTTGGAAACACAATAAGAAACTAATATGGAAAACAGGATAGAAATCAGAGCTGTTGCTCTCTAAGTGATGCAAAGCTCATTATTTTCATAAACTTCGGAAGTCAAAGCTGGATTTTTATTTTGCATAGTAAGTATCATTTCTGCAGATAATCAAACATCCTTTGCCAACACATTGGTATGTCTCCCTGATGAGAATAGAGAATAGCTATCATTTCAAAATGCTTTTAAATACTTGAATTTAAAAACTATGATCAGGACATCAATTACTGGATATTTTCTAGGCAACATTTTTCTTAGTGAAATTAACTATGTGGCTGCCTCATTATGTGGTTTAGCTTTTCTTAACATCCTTAGTAGTCTGTGAAAATGCTATTTTTATCTTTCTGGAGGCTTTCTGTTCTCTTCTTTTGAGGCCAGACTTGCCCTTGTGGAGTTGGGTCAGTTGACCCATCCATGATAGGGATCCATAGGGATCCCCATGATCTAGGCCAGAGTAGGCCAGGTGGGGAAAAGGGTGCACATATTGGCTTTATAGGAAAGTTGCTGAAGACGCACTGCTGTTGGACAAGTTCTCTGGTTTGTAGAAGATTTTGTCCTCTCCTCTCCTTTTCCACAGCCCACAGGCACAGTTTTAGGGTGTTGAGTCATGGAGCTGCAGGGAGGTTGTGCAGGATGTGTCTTCCTTTGGAAGCAGGGACTATATATTGTTCACTGCTTGGCCCATCATATATACTCTTTAAATATTTTCTGAAGGAATGGAAGTCTAGTCTAACAATCCCTGTGTTGTTTATTAGTAGAGCTACTGATATGCAGAAGGGGTAGTGGATTGCATAAAATTTGTAGAGTCCCAGGAAGTGCTGGGGTCAGGCTCCAGGCCTCCTTGCTCTTGGTGCAGAACTCTCCTCCAGACTCACATTACCCTTGTCAGAAACCAGTGTTGCCTTCCTACTTTTTCCTAGTACAATTGCTCTTTCTCCACATTTCCTTACAGTTATTTCCAGATTTCTTTGAACACTGTATTAGCTTTCTATTTGCTAGTTAATAATACAAACCTAGCAGGCCAAGACACTACACATTTATTATTCCAGTTTCAGTGGATCAGAGTTTTAAAATAGCTTCATCAGATCCTAGATTCAAAGTATCTGCAAGACACATCAAGAAAGGGGAAAAGGAAAGCCACTGATATCTCTCTTTCTATACGCACATATATATAGAGACATATATATATACACACACACATATATATGTATGTATATGTATAATAACCATTAGTAAGATCCTGCCTTGACAAATCAAGGTAGGTATAGGGAATCTTCAAAGCTCAGTGTGGTTTTATCTCCAAACTCCAAATAACAATGAAGCTCAGTCAGTATCTTTTCCCACTTTTTTCAGTGTTGGGGTTCAAATTTAGGCCCTTCGCTTTCTAGCAAGCACTCTATCACTGAGCTAAATCCCCATACCTACCTTGATTTGTCAAGGCAGGGTTTTACTATGTAGACTAGGCTGACTTCAAACTTGGATCCTTCAGACTCTGACTCTCAAATGCTGGTACTACAGGCATAGGCCACCATGTTCAGACCAGGCAACATCTTGATTGCTTAGCCCTTACTGGGTAAACAATGCCTGTGTATTCCTGTGCTGTCATTCTTATGTGTTTTTATCCTACATGTACATCTCCAGAGCACTTAGTCATTTCCGTTGTTTTTAAATAACATACATAAACATCACAACCATATATATATATATACACACACACACACACACACACACAAGTATGTATAGATATTTATTCCTGTAACTCTTAAGCCATCATCATCATTTGAGACTTGTTCATTAAGTACTATATGGTACTCTATGTACTGATTCATATCCCTGTTTATGGCCATTTAGGAGAATCCCAAATTTATATTACCAATGTTGAAATGTATATGTTCCATTCCACTTCAGGCTTTTGTTGGCTTATTTGAGATAAGAGTCTAATGGACATTCCTGCCTGTCCTACTTTCAAACTGTGATCCACAGATCTCAGCCTCCTGAGAAGATAGGATTACAGTGTGAGCCACCAGTGCCTGGCTTATAACATTTCTTGGTAACTATGTCAATCTGTTTTTCAGTTCTGCTTATCTCCTTCCTCTGAGATATGTATGAGATACGTCTTAAGGCAAGTAGTGTGGATAATTGGCCATATTCTTATGGCCATACACAGATGGCTTCAGAGACAGTGATTGACAATAATGTCTCCTCTCCTTGACCTATTTTTTGTTGTTTGGCATTTAAATATAACATGGTTTTATTCTGTGATTGCTCCTTCCTTCAATCTTTCCCTTCTTCTGCCTTTGATCATGAGTCTAGTTTTAATTTAAAGTTATTCATCTCTTATGTGTACATGTTCATTGTTCTTTTTATGAAAATGAAGGTATTTTTAAAATAGCACATGAGCTCATATCTGCCACACTATAGACCCCTTGGAATGTTTTCATCTAATCTTCCTTTTTAGAGTTCTTGTTATATTTATATACTTAAACCTATGATCCCCCTGGAGAAAGGATTGTGTCTTTGATATTGTTTCTGATCTCTCAGGATTCATTTGTACAGATGCAAATATGGGACAGATCATCATGACATCTAACATCTCTGTTCCTGGTCACAGTTGGTCCATTTCCTCTTGAGAACAGATTACAGAAGGTCAAGTCCACATCTAGTTGTGTAGTGGGAAAGTTTACCTGAGTGTGGTATCATACCTCAGCCAGAGCCGTACATATTCATCAGCACCAAACCTTAGGACCCTTCCTGGGACCTCAGTGAGAAGCTCCTCTCTGCAGCTATGTTCCTTGTTGCCCTAGGACTACTAATGCCGGTAGCCATAGCTGAATTTCTTATTGGCCTGGTTGGAAATGGAATCCTTGTGGTGTGGAGTGTTGGAGAATGGATCAGGAAAGTCAAGGGGTCCTCATATAACCTCGTTGTCCTGGGTCTGGCTGGTTGCCGGTTTCTCCTGCAGTGGATGATTATGTTGGACTTAAGCCTGCTTCCATATGTCCAAAATTCTTTTTGGATTCTCTATGCCAATATTCTCTGGTCTGTGATAAGCCAAGCCAGCCTCTGGTTTGCTGCTTTCCTCAGTGTCATCTATTGTAAGAAGATCACAACCTTCCAACATCCTGCTTATCTGTGGCTGAAGCAGAGGGTCTTTAGCTTGAGTCTTTGTTGCATCCTGGGACACTTGATAATAACTTTGGTACTTCTAGTTGACATCAAATCCTCTGGTCTTTCCCTTGCAAACAAGAGCATTGAAAACTTCTTTTCAAGATGGCAGAATCGTTCTTTATTTCACCTCACTTCAGGAAGTGGGCTGCCTTTGGGGATGCTTCTTGCTTCCTCTGGGATGCTGATTGTCTCTCTGTATAGACACCACAGGAAGATGTGTGTCCACACCGCTGGCAGGAGAGATGCTCGGGGCCAGGCCCACGTCACTGCCCTGAAGTCCTTGGGCTGCTTCCTTATGCTTCACCTGGTTTATATCCTGGCTAGCCCCTTCTCTTTCACCTCCGACTACTCACCTGCTGAACTCACCAGGGTCTTAATCTCAGAGACAGTCATGGCTGCCTACCCTTCTCTTCATTCTGTCATCCTGATCTGGGGCATGCCTAAGGTGAAGCAGACTTGTCAGAAAACCTTGTGGAGGATAACATGTGCTTGGAGAACCTGGGGTACATGATCCAGGGAGAAAGGTGGTGTCAAGATAGTCTTTAGAGACATTCTTCTGATAGCTCCCTAGGAAGGTGCTAATTTTATGTTGTTTAATATTTTTCTTCCTAACTGTATATGTAGAAAAAAAGAACATGAATCCACGCTAAGAGAGGCAACAGGGAATGGGGGGCGGGGATAAAAGAGGGTGAGGAATTTTGAAAGAGAGTAATACATTTTGAAAGAGAATAACTATAGTCAAATATTTTGCTTTTAACTATGAAAATTAAACAAGAAAACCCGTTGAAATTGTTTGGGGAAGGGGGGAAGGGGAGAAGGGAGGGAAGAAGAGTGATAGGATGAGATTGGTTATAATATATTGTAAGCATGTGTGGGAATGTAGAATGAAACTCCCTCTGATGACTGGAACACTATAAATAGCACAATAGATACCTAAAGAATATTTTTTAAGTGACTGAGTAACTCTGCTAACTATTCTTTTTTTTGGGGGGAGGGTCTGGTCGTGGGGCCTGAACTCTGGGCCTGGACGCTGTCCCTCAGCTCTTCAGCTCAAGGCTAGCACTCTACCACTTGAGCCACAGCTTTTTTTCTTTTTGCTTATGTGGTGCTGGGGAATCGAACCCAGGGCCTTATGCATGCAAGGCAAGCGCTCTACCATTGAGCCACCTTCTCAGCCCCTCTGCTAACTATTCTTAAAACTACTCTTTACATCATAAATTAAAAAGCTGAGCCGAGCACCAGTGGCTCACACCTGTAATCCTGACTACTCAGGAGGCTGAGGTTTGAGGATTATGGTTTGAAGTCAATCCAGGCAGGAAAAATCTGTGACTTATTGCCAGTTAACCACCAAAAAGCTGGAATTGGAGTTATGTTCAAGTGGTAGAGTGTTAGTCTTTAGTAAAAGCAGCTCAGTGTCCAGGCCTTGAGTTCAAGCTCCAGGACTGGCACAGGAAGAAAAGGTGAAGCCCAGAAGAGGCAGAGGCCTGCCTGGCATTTCATGTAGAGTCTGTGGCTGTGCTGGGTCCACTGCTGCTGTACAATTTAGATCTAGTCATCTTTTCTTTCAGAAACAATATGTTTAGCATTACTAGAGCTTGAACTCAAGCCTCACATTCAGCATGTTTACTTAACTGGTGCTCTACTACTTGAGCCTTTTCTCCACCCCTACTTTTTTGCTAATTAATTGTGAATAGAGTCTTATGGACTTCCTCACCCTCTCCCCCCATCCCCTGGGCTGACTTTGAACCATGATCTTCTGAGTCTTAGTATCCTGACCTGATCATAGGTATGAGCCTCCTATGCTATGTCCTACTAGTTTGAACATACATTTAAAAAATCAGTTCTAGGAGAGCTGGAATCTAAAAGACAGTACTCAGTGCCCTGTATATATTTTGGGGGAGGGGGAAGCACAATTTGAGATAAGATCTCTCTGTGTAGCTCAGGCTTTTTTGAATTTATGATCCTCCAACTTTAGCCTCCCAAGGGCAGGGATTATGGGCATGTATCACCATATCTTTCTACTCTCAACATTTTTTTCCACATCTTATCAAACATGCCAAGCTACTTTAATTAATTTACTCTTTCTAAATTTAACTCTATTTACCTAAATCTGTGAAAATGGTAATACAAGTCACACAGTTCAAGAGAGATGGCTCCAATCATGTCACTGTGAGTCCCTGGGTGTCAGGGACCATCTTTTGTCTTGGGAATGATAATATCCATTCTTGTTAAAAAAATAGTACTTCTTTGTTTTTAGAAGTAGGTTGTCTATCATGCCATTTCTATTTTATAGTGATGTTTTTAAGTGATTATATTCATAAAGGTAGCTCATGTATATTGGGCTTTGCATCTTATTGGGAGTGCTTCTGTATAGTCCATGATCTCATTTGATTTAATCGCACCAGTGTCCCCCCACCCTCATTGTATAGCTGCCCAAACTGTTGTAATGATTTGCTCACCACCATCCGTTGGTAAATGGTACAGATGGAACAGTCCCAGGTTTTTGTTTTTTGACTCAAGGAGGTTTTGCACTTTTTCCAGCAACCTAGTTGTAAGTCATTTTCAAACTTGTTAGCCATCATAGTAGGATGATGTGGAATGCAAGTTTATGAGCATTTTTAAATGCAGGAAATAGCAACTAAATTTTAAATCTTATATTGTTAATATGCCTGGGGACTAAGATCTCAACTCAGAACAGATGAAAGTTTGTATGATTTACTTTTCTTATGCACGTAACAGTGCGTGGGAAATGGAACCATCTAAATATCCATTAATGCATGAAAGGAGAAAGACAATGTAGTGTAAATATAAAATTGAATATTATTCAGTTTGAAGAAGAAAATAAACTGTCATTTGTAAAAACAAGGAAGAATCTAGAGGATATTATGCTAAACAAAATAGAGTAGGTGATTGTGATAATCATTTCACAGTGTATCTGTACCTATCCAAATGTCACATAATTTTCATTTGCCAAGTATACCTCAGTAAGACTGAGTGAAGGCTTATGGTTTCCAAGTATTTTTTGGGATTTGATTTCCTTCTTCTGTAAATGATTTTGCTTTTGACAGGTGTGAGGCTGCTTTGTGTTTCAGCCAGAAAACAAATCTGAAGGCAAATCTGTGTTCTTGAATTGACTCCCATGTAACTAAATCTTTTAGAATTTGCATTCTCAGAGTTGCAGCTGTGTGCATGTGTATGTGCATGTGTGTGTGTGTGTGTGTGCGTGCATGCATGCATGCATGTGTGTGCATGTTTGCATTACTAGCTTTCTTGGGCACTACTTTGATGGTGTGGTTTAGATGTCTGAAGTCATAAAAATGTAACATGTGAGCCAGCCTACACATGACATAAGCCAAACAAAGCTGTGGAGAAAGAACAGCAGCACTTCCTGTTGCCCTCACTGCTGTCCCACTGCCTGGATTCAGCCATCTTCTGTACTCTTAGTTTAATGGTGGTTGTCCTTTTCACAACTTAAATAATAAAAATTTACTTCTGTTACTTGCTTAATCAACACTTGAACAGTAGCTTTGAATCAGATTCAACAAAGTTAGAGGATTATGTCACTTCACTCTAAATCCATTCAGTTTTATTAAGTGCAATCAGTTTTATTTTGCCATTCCTTCCAGCATTAATTTCATAACATGTTTTCAGCTTTATCTTTTGAACTATAGTGTTTGATACTTGCCTGCAGAGTCTTGCTGTGTAGATGGAAGAAATCAGTCCTTCAGTTTGCCTGCACTTCTCTCATATTCTGAATTCAGTCACCTGTTGTGTCTGTGGGAAGGCTCAGGAATCAGACTGAGAATCAGATTCAGAAGGGGTTGGAGTAGTCACACTAGAGGGGCTGGTGCTGGCCCCACCCCTCACATATCCTTTCCCACTTCGTGTTCTTGATGCCGCCTGCCTCTGCGAATGTGTCTCTGAATTGTCCCCACAAGGCCCCAAATCCTGGGTGGAGTAGCTGATTCTAGGTGATTTACCTAGAAAATAGGAAAGCTGGAGGTTGGCTAGAAAAATTCTCTCAGAATGTATGAGGAAGCATAATGACATGGGAAATATGGAAGCAAAGCAAAGTGGTATACAGAGATAAAAGGGTAACTATCTGTATAATTGGAGTTCCAGAAGATGGAAAAAAACAAAAAGAAGTAATGAAACATTTGAAAAACTAGCGACCATGAATTGCATTGAGTTTAAGATTCAGACAACCGAGCAGGGAAGGTGGCTCAGTGGTAGAGTGCTTGCCTTGCTTGCATGAGGCCCTGGGTTCAATTCCTCACCACCACATAAGCAGAAAAGGCCCAAAGTGGTGCTCTGGCTCAGGTGGTAGAGCGCTAGCCTTGAGCTGAAAAGCTCAGGGACACTGCCCAGGCCCAGAGTTGAGGCCCCACAACCAGACCCCCCCAAAAATATTAATACAACCTTGAGCCAGAGGTCTCAAAGAGAGGACATATGAGCTGGAGAGAGCCCAGCACACGTAAGCACATTAGAGAAGAATGAGAATATCAAATACAAAAGGGAATTTTGTAAAACTTTGAGAAAGGGAAGGCTGTGAATTAGATTTAAGCCAGCTGTGGTGGTGCATGCCTATAATCCCACTGCTTGGGAGACTGAAGCAGGAAAATTGCATTTTGAGGCCAGCCTGGGCTACACAGTAAGACCTTGCCTTTTACAAAAATATAATAAATGTTCATTTTCACCGGAGTGTAGAATTAAGACTTTTTCTTACATTTATTTTTGTAAACATTTTATTTTTAGTACTGTTTTTCTGGCTAGCAATATATTTTGTAAATATGCAGTGCTAATTATAAAAATGTCAATGAAGTTCAGGAGTTTGAGTATCATGAAATTGGTGATCAAATTGTGAACTATTTGAATAAAGAAAAAAATTAAACTCTCCAGTAGTTTGGAAGACTGCAATGTCACATTTAAAACTGAATTAAAGAAGATGATGTTGCAGTAATTGGAAATGATCCCAGGTGGATAGATTCAACTTGACCTGGCTGAAGTCATCTTGAGTCTTAACCATGACCACACAGAGTAAGCTGGATTGGTTTTCCCTGAATGACTTCCCAGCATACTGGAAATCAGTAATAAAATTAATAATAACCATTAGAGTGGTATGTAGAGCTTTATAACCAGATAGTAGCGCCTTTAGCTCCAGAAGCTTGCCCAGAGCCTTTGTTATTAGCTTAAAATGGACCATGTGCGTGGCAGATCAGATAAAATCACTTTTGTCTTATTACATATTCTTCTGCATCTAGCCCCAAGTCTGGGGATCTCTTTGTTCTGGCTTCTGCCAGTAAACTGTACTCTTAATAAATTGTACTCTGTACAGTCCTCAACCTGCCTGCTTCTTTCCTTTTATCTCACCATAACCTGGAGTTGGTTCTCACACACCGAGGCCAGGTTGTTTTGTAACAGGAGGAAGAAGCAGAGAAAACAACTGTCAGTGCTACAAAATGTATTAGAAATATAGGAAAAGGAAATATAAACCAAGCATTCCAAGTGAAA